TGGCTAGACATACTCAGGAAGTGCAATTGCATTCATTAGGCCACATTGCTATGACACGTCTTTTAGCGAAGCTACACGAAGTATGCGCGTAGCTTGGACCGGAGAGGTACGCAAAGTCTTGCATGGGACAGCTGCAAGCAAGAGCATTGGAAGACACTGAGCCCTTGTGAAAATAGCGCAAGTTCTGGCGAAGGAGCAGAGATTGTCGTTCTTACAGCATGTAAGCACAATCGTAACACAGCTGAGAGCCGAAGGTCGATGCTAATTTTGTCTCGGAAGCAGGTAGGGTTGGTGAACGCAACTGTATGTCACAAATTGCCGTCCTCGCGTTGAGTATTATCTAAACACCAGGCTTTCCTAATGAAGCAAAGAAACACAGCAGTTGCGAATACTCAAGGCCAGGCAGGTTCAGTGCCCACCATCGTTATTCCTACGTAATTCTTGTTTGTAGGGTTGATTCCACAGCACAGGCACGTCTTTCACACATCCAAGTCGCATGTCGGGGACAGTGCGTGGGCACAATCTGAGCGTGCTTGGAACGGTGATATCGGGAAGTGTTTGGCCCGAGGCACACGGAAGAGCTGGAAGGTTCATGCGGAGCAGCTTTTTTCTGTCGTGAAAAACTCACTGCGGCTCTGGAGCTGTTCACTTTTCAGAAGATGCGAGTCTCATAGCGAGTGTCAGCAACCAGGGTTTTTGTGCGTGTTCAGGAATAATATTGCAGCGGGAAACAGGTTGTAGGAAGGACTTGGGCCGTTTGTTTCTCCAACTTGCTTGCGTGCCAATGGCTGCGAAGAAACGTCGTCAAATGAGCGATGCCAAATTGCAGACCAAGAAGTCTCGAGTGGGCGAAGAGCTGATGCAGATCGTTGCGGAGGATGAGGGCTTGCGTCAACGGCGCCTCATTGACGAAATAGTTGCCGAACTGGAGAATCAGCCTGCCAAGCTGCAGGCGTGCCACATTGCCGTGATGTCGGACATGTTTCTCTCGGGCGGCGGCCAGGCACGCTCAGAGCTTGACCGCTTTCACTCCGGCATCAAATTCGTCAACAAGCTGCCGAAGTCCTTCATACTGCCGTGGCTGCGCGAACTGTCAGACATGTTCTTGCCGACAAGTGCGTGGACAGTGTTTGGGAAGAAGGACAGCAAGGTGCATCTTCAGTTGCTTTGCTACGCATGCGAAATCGAGTTGAGCGACAAGATCGGGTACCACGACAAGGTGAAGTGGCAGGAGCTCATGGAGGATCGCTACCGTGCGTGTGGCTCCAAACTGAGTTCGCTTCAAGTGGACGCCGAGGGCAAGATTGATTGGATGACATCCGGTTCGTACGCGCTCAGACCAGCGATTCCGGATGACAATGCCGATCTTGCCAAGCATCGTTTCACGCATGTGGTCTGTGGCCAGGACGAGGTGGCTTTGCCACGTTTTCTGCTCGTGGATGGAACGTGGGAGATTTGGAACAACTGGAGTGTGAAGGACGCCACCCTCGTGAACCCGCAGGAAGAGTGCATGAAGTTGTCCCTGGTGAAGTTCTTCAGTGCCCACGAGAAGTTCCAGGCGAGGCTTTCGAAGTCTTTCTTGGACGTGGATGACACGGAAGAGCCGACTCCTACGAAGTCTTCCTCCGGCGTGTCTGCTCCTTCTTCAAGCCCGACGACGAGTCCGGCAAGCAAGGCAGCATCTCCGGAGCTTGGAGGTGCAAGTGCCCAGACACGAGCTCCACCTACTGTGCCCCCCAAGAAGTCTGAGATGCTTAAGGCCGCGGCTGCACGATTCTCTCAGGCTACTCAGCAGTCATGAGGAGTTTCGCGCAGTATTTTCGCACTTTGAGTGCTAGGGTCTCCACATGGCAGCGTGTACTGCTAGCAGCCATGTGTCGAGTGGGGCTTTGGGTAGCAGTACAGCG